GATTGTACTTAAAAAAAATTGCGTATAACACTGACACTGTATCACTCTCACACCACTCGAGCCGTCCGAACGGTCGTCGCATGGGTTCGACTATTCAAATTTTTGCGTGGTTGCCGAAAACGGGACAATTTTGCGTCTCAGAGTTAATTTCGGGGACAACGCGACTTGTGATTATAAACAGTGATAGTCCCGTTCAATAAGTGACAATAACTACTGCCGTACACCGAACCAGCACAGGCCTAATAACGTAATAGTAATACCTTACCTACTAAAAAGAAACAAGAATGGAAGATTCAATATTCATTTACTTATCTTATTTGGTATTTTCTTCCTTATTAACTCATTCCTAAACATTTATATCATGATCTATTTTTACAGATTTAATAGATACTCTAAAGCAATTTAGAAGATTGACACGTACAGACATATGGATACGCATAATCTATTGGCATTTTTGCATTGTTTTTGTTTGTGTGGAATACGAATTAGTTCATTAATGTAACTGTCTTCCTGTACTTGGGTTCGAATCCATAGTTATTTACAAATTTACAAATTGACTGCACGGTTGGTGCGGTGGCTGGGCAACCGGCTGCCGTGCAACGTGCCGCGGGTTCGATTCCCGCACGGAACAACACTTTGTGTGATCCACAAATTGTTGTTTCGGGTCTGGGTGTCATGTGTACGTGAACTTGTATGTTTGTAAACGCTCCCACGATACAGGAGAAAATCCTAGTGTGGGGCAACGATTTAAAAAAAAAAAATTGATTGATTCTTGACTTACATTAACAACATACATGGTAATGTAGGTTCTTAATACATTGTCTTTTTTATAAGATTACCCGGTAAATGAGGAGAAGGATCACCTGATGGTTAGCAATCGGCGTCCCCCATGGACACCCGGAACACCTTAGGCGTTATAAGTGCGTTGCCGGCGTGTTAGGGATAAGGAATTTGAGGATTGTTGGGGATTCAGTGATTGGGGAGATTGCGAAGTGGGGAGTCATTCTCCAAACAAATATGTACACTGTCTGTATAGCTGTCCTGATCTAGTATTTGTATACTTTTTTATACAAATACTATCAAGTATCACAGCTATTCGTGGTTTTACATTTATCTGAGTATATCATTACGGGAACTGAGAAGTGCCTCCGATCCGGGTCATATAGCATGTGGCAATAGGTTCACCCAATAAAGGGCACGACGTTATGAGATTGAAGTACACCCATCTTGTTGCCATGAGTATCGCCACGGTCATTCATGGTACACCTAGCTAGGTGACTAAAGTTAGTCCGATCAATACTGGCGGGCGGCGCGGGGTGTTGTATAGTACCTTGATATCTATTATTATCGCTACTGGGGAGGCTTTCATCCATCTAGGCGTACTTCTCCATGGTCGTGCTTACTTGACAGTTGACAGTGATCCTCGTTGACGATAATACTACCTACCTCTATATATTTTTATTTGGGTAAGAAAGCCCTCACAATTCGCTATGCGTCTCCACTTGTTGCACTGTTCAGTATTTCAGGACTGTATTAGTTGTTGCTTCGTTGGCCCAGTGGTCGCAAGTGCGACTGCCGGGTAAATGCTCACGTGTTCGATTCCCGGGTGGAGCAAAGTATTACTGGGTTTTTTAAAAATCTCAGCAGTAGCATGGAGTCTGGAAATATGCCCGGTATATTGCATTAGGCTCACTCCCTATAACATGGGAGTATTGACATAAAAATTGAAAAGTGGGTGTTATATTGTACAGTGGCATAAGTGCCGTAATGTGCACCTTTGCCTACCCCTTCGGTAAAAATGCGTGATGTTATGTTATGTTATGTTAGTTGTTGCAAAAGTTTGAGTGGTTGATCAGTAAGGTAAAAGAAATCCAACAACCAATTTTACAAATATAGTTATATTATCACCCTGTGTTTGTCGACAAGGACAGGCCACATTTAGGTAATTTTGATTTAAAACTCGGTTAGTTGGACTTAGGAGTAGACCAAGAGAAAGAAAATAAATCACAGAGCGAGCCTTTTGTACAAACCAGACAATTACAAATTTATTGCGGATTTTACTTTAACCTATTTATTTACCACGTAATTGTGGTAACGAAAGATATAGTACAGCATTATTGCACAACGCCATAGCATCTCTATGGCGGACAAACCTTTCAACACATGGCAACACTACTCATAAACCGATGACATGTCAACACTGAACATTAGCGGCCAGTGGCGTAATAGTCTTTGGGCACAGTTCTACAATGGACGCCATCTTTGGATGAGTTGGTAATCATTTATGAGTATCTATTACTTACTCTCACGTTTTAACCTATCGTATTTGTTGCTAAGTGCAAGATTTAGGAAAGGTCCTAATCGAATACTGATAACAATCAGTATTCTGGGCATGTTAATATCTTGTAGAACGTGGATATTGTGCGCGAAATTAAAAAATACTCATTTATTTCTTTTTTGCTAAGTCTGCGGAATAGTTTAATAAAAGCAGGTACTGGACGATTTACGAAACCAAAATAAAATCTATCAGGACCCAGTTTATAAAAAAAAAAACTTATTTCTGTCATAAACAGATTGTGCTACCTACTAGAATTTCAATAGTCCGTTCATGTACAATTTAATTAATTGAAATCAAATGAATTTGACATTTAAATCAACGCAAAGAATCAAAGTGAAAGAAAGACTGTACAAAATCATATTTTACACCATTGCAATTGCAATTATGGATTAATTATAAATTTGGAAAATATTATCAATAAAATAAAATCCGCAACATTATGAAAACTTAAGAGAAACAGTTATATAGTTTAAACACGAATAAGTTGAACCTGAGACCTAGCACACAGCAGTCACACTAGCAACCACTGAACCGACATACAGACAATTTCTATAAGTAATAACAGGAATCAGTGGCCGGCTGACCGGACCATGTATCCTTATCGAAACGTTTAAACCAAGGCCAGAATTGCCGACAACACTTTGTATGTCTATAGTCGATTGAAATTATATTATTATGTAAACATTGCCTAAAGACTTGCGCAGGCGCTAGGCGAAGGTCATGTTCCGTTTGGTACATGTTTCCCATTCCAGAGTCCCTTCAAAGGGGGTTGCGGACAAACGCTAGGGCTACCGGTGCACCATCACCAAGCAGGAGTTAGAACAGGATGGTTTTAATCAGTAAGAGTAACACTCCCTTCAAAAAACAAAAAAAAAAACTTAAATTAATTAGTTTCTTGTCTGTCGGTCAGGCTCTAAAAGTCCTATTGGTGTTTGAAGAACTTGTATAAGATATAAACGATAAAACGTTTAGGTTCTCAGACCCTATCAGTAGGATCAGTTGTTTAATTATTAAAAAAATTTGCTCAGCCCAAACAAGGATAAAAGAGGACAAGAGAAAATAAACAAATCAGACTTTGGAAAGTATATCATCTTCACTAATGCCATTAATTCGTTACAAATTCAGTTTTGCACTTTATGATAATTGTCCTACATTACAAAGTCAAGCTTTTTTAATATCAATAACACATTTCATGCAAGTAGCCGAATAGCTTGAATAGAGACAATTAACAAAAGGGCAAAATAAGAACTTATTAAGCCTTTAACTGCCGATAAAAACTGTTAAAGGCCAATCCTCCGCTATCGTCGGACATCATGGTCCGACACGGCATCCAATGTGTTAAAAATCTAAAAATTTAAGTAAGGTCTGTACATAAACGCGTTCGCATCACTAATATTAAAAAAAAACAGGGCGTGATTTATTTGAACCGGTGTCTTCCTTATAAATACAATCTAATTAAATATCTAAGTACTCGATCTACTTGGAAAACATGATAAATTCTTTGTTTTTCTTTAATTTATTATAATTTTATTGCTCCCAGAACTCGTCTACCTACGATTAGTTAACTTACGCATAATTAAAAAGTCAAGGTTTTGTTTTTACAAATTATAACGAGACTTTTTGTATGTTTTAGTACGAACGTATGTGGTTCACTTATAAACTGGTAACTATGTGATTAAAATAAAATGATTAGCATTTGTTTTTCATTGATGCCAGTATTTATTTACCTCCGCGTGTCGTAAAAAAACTACGATCAGCGGTGACCAGCGGCGCGCAACAGCATCCTCAGAATTTTCGCATGTCACAGATTATTTTGGAAAACCTTCAGTTTGCTCAAAAATAGGGCACTTTATATATTGCTTTAGATATCGGAGGAAGGAAGAGGCTTTTGTTCAGCAGTTGTGTTTTTCGACTGATGATGAACATAACTAATGCCTTAGCTTAAACAGCTCATATATTTGATCCAATACCAACGTTTTTCTTATTTATAAGAATCAAGACTGTGCGAGCTCCAAATAGTTACAAAAAATGTAGAAGGATCTTAAAAGAAAGACTAAATAAAATACTGAATTATGAAATTACACGCTTAATTCTAATACATATTTTATGATTCACTAGAATCTTGGATAAAAATATACCCATATCAATGCTATGCTCGTGATGATAAGATTGTAGTAATTTCGTTGTGATATTGTATGTTAACTAAAGCAGAAACTAATTAATTTTAATCAATAACATTATTTTTTACTTCTGAAGATGTCATCACGAATTAGCTAAGTGGTACGTACATTGAAAGAGAAGTTAAAATGTTAATTGCGATTTAAGTTAAATCAAGTGTCAAGTGCGCCATTTTTTCATTAACTTTACTTATTAGTAGCTAATAGGAAACGCGAAAAACGTTCAGAATCGAATACAGACAAATATACGTAATGACTTTGTTATTCGTCTACGTTTATTTAAATGTCATCGATTTAGGACACATTTACTTTTGAATTAAAGTAAATGAATAAGAATATTGTGTGTGTATTTCAAAATCGCTGAAAGTAATTAACATTTCTCTAAAAAAATAGCCGCATAAAACCTTGTAACTTGTTTATTTAAATGGATTTCAATGTGAACCACATAGAATGCTATGAATATTGATTTAAAAATCGTAACTTACCGGCCCAAGGTCCGAACTTCTTGGATAGTGGCTGCACCTCACTGGGCAGGAAATAAGGCATCAGATACGAAGATATAAGCTCCAACACACTCCATAGGGAATCTATTAGCAAAAAACATAGGGTAATAGACCCAACTAACGCTAATATCAGTAAAAAAAACATGGTTCCTAATATAAATGCACTGATTGGTCCTTAATTTTACTAAATGTCAAATATTACGCGTGTTTTTTTCGAAATTGGAATGTTTATTTGTTGTGGGAGGGCACACGACGTGCCAACATCACGGTGCTAGCCACACTGACGCAGCGAGTGTTGCCTACATTCAAGTTACGTTACCGCGATTGACCTATAAACGGGTCTTATGTCACAGCTTATCACCGTATTTGATGTTAAGCGGAAGGTATGAACGTAATGATCTTTGTACAATCATTTTTTATGATGGTGGTGTCTTTTAATCTAAGTTTATATCATTAAGTAAAACTAATTTAAATATTCTAGTACTAAAATATCGAGTAATCGGTGTTCGATATAGTTAAAATCACTTCAAAATCTCAGAAACAAATTTGTTCGGTCTAATCGATACGCCAGTTCTAATTTGGTGCGCAACAAGTTGTAGCTCGATATAGCTATGTTTCCTATATCAGGCGCTTACTCTTACTTACAGAGATTTTTACTAATAACTGAATTAACTCGTCGAGTACCGGTTTTGTAGACACAATTATAGAACAATAGGTTGCGGTCACCGGTGACCGCTTGGTGTTTGACAGTTTAAGTTTGTATATAGGTAATTCATAATTATTTAAGTTGTGTACAATGGCTTAATGTTTTCTTTTATTTATAACTAGTTACATCATCGTTACGTGATTAGACTCGGTTTCGAGTAATTTAGGACAAATCTATTGCCATTAAAGCATTTATTGTTGTTACGTGTATGAATATTGTTCAAAATAATTACTAGCAATAACTGCTTTTTATCTTTTACTACCAATACGTTCTATATTAAGAGTATTTATACTTTTTGTAAGTAGACTTCAAATTGTCTTTACTTTATAATTGTATTTATTTATGCATTTTCGCCAAATTTTCGCCTGTTACCTGAAACTTCATCTTTAATCTGAAGACGATGCGTTAGCTTTTTTAAGGAGGGAAAATCATCCAATGTGTCAGGCTCTTACGGACTAAAAATAAATAAAACCACCTCATTCCTACTCCTAGTCTCCGAGCCGTTGTCCCAGCAACTCGTTAAGTCCTCCGCAGCTCCGCACCGGGCATCAGCCCTACTGGGTCCCATCTGTACATTTACTATTAAGTGAAACTTTATCTTTAATCCAAAGACGCAATGCCTAAGTTAGGCGTTGTCGATGTCAGTGTTCTCGGACCTAGTTTTTGGTTTTCGATATTCAAAATTCAAATGCTGAACAAGAGTTCCATTTTTGTTTCTTTTTTTATGGGACTTGCCGGCCACAGGCTCCTGTAAACCGCTGCAACTCATTGAACTCGTTGAGTACCGTTATTATAGACACAATTATAGAACAATTTTTTTTTAAGAGGGGAAAATCATCGAAATTCTGCTCCCGCCTGGGTGAGGCGGGAGGGAGTGACAGACTCTTACTGGCTAAAAACCACCCCGTTCCTTCTCCTGCACGTCGAGCCGGAGCCCCGGTTACCCGTTAGGTTCTCCGCGACAATTATAGAACAATAGGTTGCGGTCACCGCTTGGTGTTTGACAGTTTAAGCTATGATCTACAAAGGTGTATGTGAACTTGTATGTTTGTAAACGCACCCACGACACAGGAGAAAATCCTAGTGTGGGGCAACGTTTGTATAAAAAAAAAACCATTAATAACAACGGAACACTGAAATCCGGCGCGTCTCAGGGACAAGAATAACTTTCTTGGATCCCACAAATATAAATCAAAAGATATTATTTATAAGAGAAGAAAAAATAACATTTTCGTATTATTAGTATTATGGATTTTTCGAACCCGATCGATTTTTACCACTTTACAATAAAAAAAGATTTATTATAGGTACTATACATCATTAGGGTACTTGATGAGTACCTAATTAAACTGATAATTCATTATTTTAATATCGACCGCACATCAAGCTACCCTTATCTGTCCAAGTTCTTTAACAGATTTTCTTCTTTATACCTTAGTCACATGGTTGAAATTTACAAAAAACACAGTATAGTACATAATACAAGTACATATCGCAGCTATTAACACCGGTATCACCAGTTCGATCTCGAAGCAACACGTGCCAAGGTAAATAATTAATAATGGCAATTAAAATTCATAATTATATGATAAGCCTGGTTTTTTGCAACTGAATTACAATTCGTATTCAACTAACTAGTTTAGATTTTAAATTTAGACTTAGGCTAGCTTAGGGTAGTTATAGTTTACCAACAATGGTAGGATAACTACAAATCCTTTTATTTATTTATTATATATAATTATCCAAATTTATGTATTTACCAAACCTTCTTTGTTAAGATATTTTTGGAGATCTGGCTGATCAGGTGTGAGAACTGAGGGACCACATTTTTCCCCGACTAGGGCCATTTATTTACAAATTCACAAATTCGTTCTACAATTGTTTTAAAATTACTACTAACCTAGGAGTCGTTTTTTTAAGGGAGGAAAATCATCGAATGACTTCGTCAGGTGTGAGGTGGGAGTGAGTGTCAGACTCTTGCTGACTAAAAACTACCCCGTTCCTACTTCTGCACTTCGAGCCGAAGCCCCGGTAACCCGTTGGGTTCTCCGCGACAGCCTAGGAGTCTAGGACCTTAATTTAGCGAATACCGAGTTTGGTCCCTCAATTGGGATGATGACAAGGTATGAAAATTAAAAATATAATTAGTCCGTCAGTCCGTGAGTTGGGTAATTAAAAAATATTAGACACGTATCTTTTTATTTTGTCGTATAATAAAACAACATTTAGATAAAACGAATCGAAGTTTAAATTATAAAATGTACATAGAAGTGACGTCAAGTGACATTTCAAATCAATATATCGTCGAAAGTATTCGTTGCTGTAAGAAAATAAAAAATACGTGTCTAATGATTTAAAATAATCTACCAGACGGACAATAAAATAAAAATTAGGCATATACCCTATTCAAACTATGAATTTATTTGACCATACTCTTCCGATGCCTGGTGTTATAGAGGTGGAGTCTTACCACCTACGCATTTGTCAGAGATCAACCTACCATATAAACTATGATTTCCTAATTTTAACGCCTGTCAAGCGTGGATTATAATATTTATTTTTATGTCTCCTTCCATGCAAGACTTTTTTTCAGTAGATATGTTGAAGAAGAAATAAAAGTCTAATATCTTAAGGCTACGTATAATTGAGAATATTGCTTAAATATTACAGATCAGACGGTCTCTGAGATGGTGGATGGTTTAGTTTCAGTGCTCGGTGGAGGACTCTCCTCTTTCAGGGTCTTCATGCCTTTCAGCTTGTTCTTCACCAAGTGGTACGGAGCTGAAACCAATGTAATTTCTTATTAGTTTACAGTCAAAAGATCTGCTTTTAACACTGTAATTGGTTAGTTTTCAGGGTATCAAAAGTAAAAATCTAAATAGTCCGTCAGTTAAATAATAAAAAATTTTAGACACGTATTTTTTTTATTTTCTCGTATTAAGTTGCAATAATTAGATAAAATGGCGCTAAGTTTAGGAGTGGGAGGCCGCTACGTCATAACGTGCTACAAATTGTGATACGCAGTGACGTCACACGATATTTCAAATTAATATATCGTCGAAAATATTTAATTCTGTGAGAAAAGAAAAAATACGTGTCTAAAGTTTTAAAACAATATACCAGACAGACATTAAAGTAAAATTTAGGAAACTACCCTATCCGAAAACTTTTATGGAATAATCATGTAAAATGCGAATATCTTTCAGTCTCTCCGCCTTTACTGGACTATAGACCTCCTATAAAAATTCTACATAAGAGGAGCTTCCCATAATCTTGTGATGACAGCTTAAAAAGTTTATCAGAAAGTATTACTGTTCGGTAGTCGTCACGTATGCGACACCTGCCGAAAAAGTAGAAAGGGATGGTGACAAACTTATCGACCAATTCACACTTGTGAACACTCGACCTAACAATTTAAAATTTGTACATTGGTACTGTAGAAAAATAAGCAATGTCTTTCAGTTCATCGGTCATTCACATTCACCTAAATTGGCAATAGATTTTTAACGGCTGTCATAATGTCTATAATTTACATAATGTCAAGATGTGCTCTGCCAGTACATAAAACATAATATTTGACTATACAAGCACCAATTATACTGTACTGTGTACATACGAATGTATTTATATTTGCTTAATACATATCTACTCTACGAAAACGTGCGACGTTTAATATAAATAGGTAAATATTTTTATGCATGTGAAATATCTTCCTTATGACAAAAATATTTTTTATAAAATATAATTTTATATATTGTGTTATTTATTATTGTGGTTTTGAAAAGTAAATGGGGAAGTTTTATCTGTTTTAGAAGTTCATTTTAATCTACTACAGGACTAGTTTTTAAGTTGTGGTATTTAAGTGTGGGAGAGCCATGCTTCGGCACGAATGGGCCGGCTCGACCGGAGTGATACCACGGCCTCACAGAAAATCGACGTGAAGCAACGCTTGCGTTGTGTTTTCTCGTGTGAGTGAGGTTACCGGAGGCCCAATTACCTTCCCCTTCCCCAATCCCTGAATCCCCAACGATCCTCAAACTCCTAATCCCCAAAAAGCCGGTGACGCACTTGTAACGCCTCTGGTGTTCCAGGTGTCCATGGGCGACGCCGATTGCTTACCATCAGGTGATCCGTCTGCTCGTTTACCGGCTGTAATATATGCCATAAAAAAAAAGTTGACTCTCTACTAGGTTTCCAGTATTTAAACTTAGCAGTATCACTGATGCTTTATTGTTATGTTATGCTAATGTATGGAAAACATCGTACAGCCTATCTAATTGATTTAAGCTTTTTAAATGGCCTACTTTTAAAAGTGACAACTGCACAAAGCTTTTTGACAAGCCTGTGGAGGAGTTTTTGAGTTTATAGCGTCATCAAGATGTTTTCAGTAAAAATAATTGGCCAAATACCTACGCAGACGTTGGAAATGGGGTCCTAAATTGATATTTTAAAGGAAGGAAGGAATAATGACAACGAACCAGAAAACCAATCTCAATTTTGTGGTGGCATGGACAACATGTAAAATTGTAAATCCTTCCTTAGGTAGGTACAAGAAAAGCAATTTCTGCCGGATACAGGAACATCAAGAGAAAGTGTCGAAATAAGGAAGTTGTGACCTCTAATGTAAAATACAATGCAACGAGGAAATCAAGTACCTACACTTAAGTAAAGATTTTACTAATTAATTTCTTTGTAGAGAGTTTTCCACAGGGAAACTTTAAAACTGCACAGAATGTATAAAGTCAAGGACACCCGTTTTACTGGGCGTGACAATAGCTACCTTTTGTCTTGTATTCGTCTTCACGAAGTTTTTTACATGTAAAGCGACAAAAACAGTCAATGGAATTAAGAAAAACCACATCTAGCGAGACAACTAACTGCCAGAAAGACTGAAAAATATTTAGTATTAGACAGAAGTAATAAAGGTGGAAAGGATGCACTTTTTTGTGGGATGACAACTAAGAACAACGCACTTTGTTCATTCTTATTGCATAATTTTCAAAATGGCCCTATAATCTATTGGCGCCACATTGGCGCCCCGGCCCCGAGCGGCCATATTTTGCATTAGGATGCGTTCATATTTATGACAATTCTCCCGATTTTAATTATATTTAATTCATCCTCATCATCTTCTAATAGTAGGTATATCTGATTCTATTTATATAACTCAACACACAGTTTGCTGGCAACTTTTCAATGAAAGGTCAACTAATACCATAATTTTTAACTCGATACTTTTGCAATGTTGTACAATATCATTACAAAATCTTCAAATCTAGTCATTGAACTTCGGATTTGTACATATTGAATTGCATCACGATAAATTTTAGGCGGCAAAACTGTCTGTCGCAACGACACTTAGCGTCCACATGACTAACACTTGATTGTAAACTTTTTAACTGCGAAAAACAGTCTTACTGCTTCGAAATAAAATCTCTTACTATCTCGAATATTTATCTACTTTAAATCTAACTTATAATCAAGGTTTTCTCCCACATTATAAATTAGTTATTGTGTATTCTATTGCTCTGGTATTTTTCTTTGCTTTGCATTGTTTTCTTTTTAGACTAATTACTAGCCTAATTTTATTTTAATATTGTTTGTAGCAGTGTCAGTGGCCAGACTGCAGACATTTAATTGTTCGTAATGAATGACTAAAATTTAATTATGGTATTAAGCAGGAAAATTCAAAATAGTGTCAAAATAAACGTACCTAGCTGTAGTTACTTGTATGCTTATTACATATTGTAGACTAAAGACTAAACACTAAATCATGTCTACCATACCATCTAACTATAACAATAATCTACTAAATGCATGTCGCGCTCTCACTGCGAGACTCGCACATTCTTGCATGTTGCAATGTGCCCGATTCTAGGTCACCTGGGTTCACAGATAGTAAGTACGTACCTATCTTCCTTACCTAGTAATCCCTCGCAATGTAAGTAACAAAATAATTATGCGATATAGATGGCTATACTTTTTAACTTTGATTTAAAGATGTTTTTGCAAGAGATTAAGAATTCAAAGCCTCAACAAGTTTTAGAGGAAAGGCTGTAAAATAGAGACAGTAAAATAGATAACAAAGTGAATCAAGCTAAAGAAACAAAACTATCTTCGGTAAAATGTACAAAATTCTTTGCAAATTTTGTTGAAACGATGTCAAGAAACTTGAAACACATTACAGTGGGAAGCATGAGCTGGCATGAGAACAATTAAATTAAAATAACAATGTCCCAATAAGTACTTGCTCAATCGCTGTGCGTGATCGTAAAAGTAAAGTTTTTATTGCTTACATTTGCTGATTGTTACCTAAGCTGCCTAGTATTTAACTAAAGAATATGTATTATTTATTTATTTTCAGCCGTGATTGTCCCACTGCAGAGCAAACGCCTCAATACCCTCCTTCCGCTCCTCTCTGAAGACGAACATGTATAGGACCAAGGACTGCACCCTGTGGAACCCTTAGTAGACAAAATGCCAATGCTAATAAATTGAACATTAGACAAGTCATTTTGATGTTTACCTACTATTTCCGTTGCATTTCACTTTGTAAGACGTTCACCTAGCACTCGTACAATCGCGAATAGGATTATGTATAACCATAATAGAATAAAATACACTACGTCTACGTTTTTTAGACCATGTCTGAAAAAACTGAAATAAATCTCAACATCACGTCCAACTATAAATCTCGTGCGCGCGTTATCCAATTTCTATCTTCCATCTTTTTAATTAATTATTCAAATAATGCAAAAAATGTTATTTACATTTTTATAAAGTTTGTAACTTTAAACTTTCAGGTTTTGAAGTCGTAGGTTTTAGGCATATCATTCTAAGTAGATATTATCGAGGTACATACGTACTAACACATTCAAAACTTCAAAACTATCGGCCGTAAACACTTAAAACCGTAAAACATACCTCACATAAGAAGCCTTTGAGCTCATGACGGAAAAAAAGTTTTAATCTGAACTCAAAATAATTTGTGGAAAAATACTTGTTCAACTTACTGAATCTAACGTTGCATGCAAATTAATTATCTATTCGTAAATTCGTTGAGACAAACGAAACAAAACTGGTTAATGCTGCTCTCAATGTGGCTAGACTTGTTTCTTTCTAGTCTCTCACTAATTTATTTATTAATTACGTGTTTTTCAACAAAATAAAATGCCACGTTTTTGTCTAAAATTATGTTAAGTCCAAAATTCTGTAATTATATCTTCGATTCGTCATAAGCTTTAATTCCCTGGGGACACGCTGGACCTTGAGGAACACCCTCGAATAATTATATTAGATAGACACAGCTATCAGTAATTAAAAATGTACTTTAAAGTTTACACAAGTGTTCGTCTTTCACTGTTCCGATATTCCTATTATTCTCATACGTAGTTATTACTTATTTATTTTGTTTCTTATGAATAAATTATAATGTGCAGACTTAAATTCGCACTGCAGAAATACAATTTAACATTAATTTACCTACATAAGTACTAAGTTGTTACTGATCCTACTTTACAGTACCAACTCAATGTTAAGTTTGTCACCCTTAATTTGTTTTATTTACTAAGTAAAAAACTTAGTTGACGCGCAAATCACTGACACTTAACTTCCTACCTAGTTACTTAGTAAAAACAATAAGAAAATCACTCACCTGAAAAGATTCTCAGTCTTCTTTTAGTATCCTGATTTCCATAAGCGCAAAGTCTGATTATATCAAATACAGCTAGACATGTTAGGAAGATCAGTAAACTGTACACGATTAGCTGTAGCATGGCAACTGCTTCACACAACGGCACGAGTTGCCCCGTCGACGATACTAATACAACTAAAAACACAAGGTTTCGTAGGATACAGGTTTTTCAAGACCAAAAGATACGTCAACTTGAACTTGAAAACTTTAGGGTTCAACTTATCCACAAGTGCTTTATTGCGAAATTAGGATGCATGGAATTCGTAAGTATTTTTATGTTTACCCTTCTGCGGGTTAAATAAAGTACCTACCTATGTATGTTATAAAACTGTCCTTCTGTTAAAATCGTTAGTATATTCGTACAGTCCTCCGATCTTTGTGATGATAACTAAAGTAGGTACTTGTTACTAGTTGGCAACTGTTTTAACTAAGTAATTAAATTAATTTGATGGTGTTTTCACGCTTACCAAAATACAAATTAGATGGGTTAATCGACCATGTTTAAGTGTAGCGTATTAATCAAGGTGGGTGATAAGACTTCTAGTTTTAGATCGACGTAACAAAAAGGATAATATTCTTTTATTATTGGGTATTAGCCAAAATGTATGCCAATGTCAATTGTATAATGCGATTAATGTAAGGTTATCATTTATAACTGTAATAATGGGATTCGGACGCTGTGACCTTGTTAATGTAACATGTAAAGACCTCTTTTCCGTACTAGTGGATTAGACATTTTATAACTTCCAATAAACTAAACAGATTGTCTTTGATGTGATGATGCAAGTTTCGGTAAACGTAATATGTGTTTCATATATAAAATCGTTCTTGTACATGATCCTGACTCTTTTTCTTCCAAGATGAGTCAGTCATAAAATAAGACAAAATAAAGAATAATTTCTGAACGCAGCTACAATTTTGCCCACTGTCACTGATAATGATGGTTTGACAGTGACAGCATTTTGTTATGTCCGTGCGTTCAAGACCTACTTTACATAGAATACATTTTAAAGCATGAAACATAAACCTGGCAGGGCGTTATATATAAATCAGAAAGGAACGCACATATATTTAATGTTACCAATACTGTCATAGTGACAGATTTACGGAACATTTCAAAGATTTTGTTTTCCTTCTTTCATTTCGTAAACAGAAATACATTCATTGTTTTAATCCACTAACTCGAAAATCATGGAAAAGGAATTGGACAAAGTAGTAGAGGAGATAATGTCAACTCCTAATGTGAGTGGGTGTTTAGTGGCGGACCACCAAGGGCTATGTTTAGCTGCTAAAGGCACAGCGCACGTTGACTCAGCGGGCATAGTAGTGGCGATATCAGAACAGGCGTGTAAAATACAACCGAATTTGAAACCTCCCACTGTGTGCTTGGAGACGGACAAGAAGCAGTGTTTGATTCAGCGACATGGAACCATCACAGGAGCGATAATCAAACAGAAATCGTAGCTTTGCTGTAACTTGGCAGGTACGTACCTATAAGAGGTGGGCAGAATGCATGTAGATAGAAGTGTGTGTTATTTGTTAGGTCTGATAACAGTGGGAGCTGTGGGACTGGTGCGTGTCTAGATGATCTAATAGCTCCATAGAGGTGCTGATAGGTTACTAGCTCAGTGATTGTGATTAGGAGGAATATGAGATAGGAAATAGGAATACCGCACTCCCAATTCGAAAGCTTTGAGTAAGCTGGTAAACTAAAACAAGAGAAATATATAGCACCATTATTTATTTTGATTTAATTATCATATTTAATTTATGTTACAGGATACAAGCAAGAGACAACTGGACCGTGTGAATGATTTATTGACTGAAAGTTATCCTCGGAAAATGATCGAGTCAGTGAATTATTAAGATAATTAATTATTAAATGTTTAAAATATAAATAACCATTATATGTAACTTGTTTAAATCTATGTAAATAAACTATTTTATATTATAACCTGTGATTTTTTTGCTTTTCGTTGTAGTTTCAATGTTATTTCTTTTTTGTTTTTAGATTGAATTCAAGAATGTTTTGTAATCAAACTGGCAATAAGGCTGTTTTTCCCCCAAATAAAATTTTACTTTGCAAGTTTTCACTACATAGTCTAAATTTTTTTTTCTCTTATCTTCTGATTCATTTTTTTGCGGGACCCAAGTCAGTTATTCATGTTCCTGGGGCACAGCAAACTTCAGTATTCCTTTGTTTTCATGGTGGCATCTACTCTAGATCCTGACTTATAGAGAGTTGTAGCAGTTTAGGGAAGATGTGACAGGATGTTCCAACAAAGAAAAGTAAAAATAGGTTTTATCAATGTTTGTTATAACTGGAAATAAGGATTCCTTTACCAATGATATTACCTACTATTGGCACTTTGTGACAAATTACTTTCAATATCTATTTCTTCTTGTTTTGTAGTCTACTAGTCCCAGCTGTAGTATTCAAATAAAATATTTGAGTTTACGAGCTAGTATTTCAGATTCACAAATTAGCTCAGTCATTTGGTAGTTCTACCTGGAATATTTTCTGGGAGTTTTGAAAATTGGCCATATTATAGATTTTGATGTCCTCTATCTGATATCCGTTTTGCACCCTCGTACGTGCGCCGCCACCTTGGAAAAATGGCGGCCAAAAACAGTTTTTTTTGCAATCCTGTGTATTTTAGGAACAAATGTTGACTATAAAATTAAACTAAGTACTCAAAATTTCCTACAATTCATGTCTAGACAGTTTTTTGTACTCAATATAAGTAGTCTTGAAGAGAGAGCGCCAGATCCCAGCAAAGATCATTTTAATGAGCATGTTGGAAAAAAAATAATTCCACATCACATGAAAGTAGAACAACCGGCGGATTTTTTTATAATGGTTTCCAAGGTGGCGGCGGCGCGAGCGGCGCCCGTACGAGGTTGCAAAATGGAAACCAGAAAGAGCATATCAAACTCCCGGAAAACATTTCAGACAATCTCCATATTTCCACTTAATGATCAAATTAAATGTACCTGATAATGTAAAAATAAAACTAAAACATCAATATACACACATTTATTACAGATATGCTTTCCTAAATATAACATTAACTTGACAAGAAACAACTGCAACCACTTACACTATACAACTATGTATACTTATTTTAAAGTTACAAACAACTTTTACTACTCATTACTTGAGTTTCAGTGCAGGGACAAATAATATATACTGATGCTGAATGAAAAAATGCTGAAAAAACTACGTAACTGCTTCAAAAGTTTGGTTATAGTTTTGGCGGGAAACAACTATTCCGCCATCTTGAAATATGGTAGGCCCCTATTCTGGTATCTTAGCATTACAGATTAAGTGAGTAGAATCGGGACCTTAATTTTAAAAAGGAGGTTCGTATAGCTATGTAGTTTATTGCTATTTTTATCTCTGCACTAACTCTAAGTATACAGGCAACATAACTAGTAACGATCTTGGATAACATGTCTAACTGAACATTTAACAAAGTTGTAAGTGTTTAGGCTAAGCAAGAATGTATCTCAACTTATTAATTTAATCATAGCATATACTATATACAATCTCAACGTAAATTCTTATTTTAACAATTAATTCGCTTAATATACATAAATTAATCGATGCATGTAAAAATTATGATGTATTTAATTGTAAAAAAATCAATGTAAATAAGGAAGCACAATGTTACATTATCAAACATTCCATTGTGTTGCAAGTTTATAAATTCATTTTAAAATCCTGTTACTGGCAACACCATCAAATAAATTCAAATAAAAATTATTGCACTAAAATATTGGGTGTGTGAGCAAAAATGTTAAAACTAGCAAAATATTACCTAAGACTAGGGCCTTTCTTATACACAATAATACTTATGCAGTCACTGTGGCGTTCTATATTGTAATTTTACAAAAATATCTTGCAATTGCAGTAACAGTTATAATTTTATCTATTTAAATTGTGTTATAGAACAATTTCTATTTCTAATGTGTTCAATATGTTTTAAATATAATTATTGTTAGTTGCAACAACTAATTACGTAGCTGTTTTATTTATTGGACTTGGCAACACATTCGAAATTCGATCGGATAATATTCAAACTTCCGCCCAAATTGTCATCGACCTTTTACACGAGATCATAAGGTCACAAATCATTTGACAGCTCAACGCAATGTGTTACCAGTCAAGAAAATCATCAGACCTATAAAACTAGTCGTTTAACTGTCCGAATCTAGTAGTAACCGTCTAAAACACGTATTACAAGATTTCTAGTAGATAATATCTATACTATCTCGACGATATATCTGGCTGGGGTTATTTATAACATTATAATCGTATAGAACTTGAGTGCGACCCCACACTATACTAAATACCATAATTACCGAAATATTTGTTCCAACAAATTGACACTGTCGTAACAATGCAATAAGGAACTACGTTCTAAAAGCATGCAAGATATACATACATAATCTAGAATATATAAGACATGAAAAGGAAAGACCCATAAAATTCAGTACGATTTTCGGAATGCATACAATTGATATTTGGATTCTAAAACGACTAGCCTTTTTCAGGCTTCGTCGTAGTAAAAATCATTGATAAACGCAAAGAATCCTTGTCTTAATACCTTCAAACAAAATGCTGCCGAAAATAATCACACCATCATAAGAATTGATGAAGTATTGCACGAAAGAAGGCGTAGCTATACGATAATAGACCCTATAGTAAACACTTTACACCAATGTCAAGAAAATTTCGCTAACTATGTATTATGCTATAACATTATTATTTAATTTTGGAATCAAAATCGTTTACACAATGGCCGCGTTACCATCAAATTCTAAATTAATAATTTAAATAAAAATAATCACCGAAATATGAGCAATATTAATTATGATTTTGTTAATAATCATGAAATTATGATTTTCTAATTAAAATAAATATCTATACCAGCCAGTTTAGAGGATATGTATGCATGTTAGACGCTTGACTTTTTGTAAAGATAGAAAATGAGTAGCAATTACAATTAAGATAAGGAAAATTATCGCTTTTGTGTGCACATAATTAACTGAAAACGGTCATTAGACCAAAAGGATTTTAATCGACAAGAGCGCCATCAGCGTCATCAAAAAACGATAGCCACAAGTTCCAAACTGTATTTTTTCGAAATTGTCCAACTGTTACTTATTAAACTGTATCTAAATGTAATTCCTATCTCATCTTATCCTCAAAAACAACAGATTTGCGTCATAAAACTCAAAACAAAAGTCATGTTGCACTGTTTCCCAAATAAATTAAACATTAAACAATTTATTACACTATTAACAGCCCTCGACTACGTCCACAAATCGCTTCCTTACAAAAAATAATAATAAATATGAAAGTTACGATTTTAGGGGTCTTAGAACAACACACAAATGATGTTTTATCAACTTAAAAATGTCTAGTAGAAATTGACCTGTTACGACCGGAAAAATCCACACAATGCAAGGTCAGTTTATACTAGTCCATGTTTAATTTGATGCGCATTCGTTTACAGTACAAGAATTCCTCCTTACAATATAACGTCTGGCTTCAAAATTGACGTAGCGATTAATATGAATATGAGACGTAACTCTATAACATTAGATATATTTTCCCTTAATACTTTAGTTTTGAAGCCACTCCATAATAACTTGATCAGCCATTAAGATCATATAAATAAATAATTTTCCTAAAAAAACTTCTTTTGAGGTTCATTTAAATAGATTTCAAATGCATTGGTCCTTTATTATGAACATGTTATTACAAAGACCACTTATTGAAAAAGAGCCTCTATTGCAACCGATATAATATCTATTTTAGTTTAAATCTCCTCTTATGGGCCAAGCGATATGGTACAATATGTCTATAATATGTGCTTAGTTCATAAACCTCTATAATATAACAAATAACTGGATATCATACATATTTAATGTTACCATAGACGAAAATATTAACTATCTACAAGCAGACTCAAATTATATTGTTGGCAATACTATTATTTTGTATGGAGGACACTGGTTTTTATTGGCAACACTAAACTAAGGAGTTTTTATTGTGAATATTGCTCTACATCTCTACTGGAGAAGCTTCATCAACTTGCACCATTGAGAGACATTGATAAAGTCTTTGTAAGATTTAGTATGCGCTCCAATATACTACGAACGAACAATAACAATAATTATGAAGAACAAACATTTTCAGTATATTTAGCTAGAAAATATAAATAGGTATAAAACAAGCACTCTGTCACAACAACAACGATAAAAATATTGATCAAGGAAATTGCACGTCATTAACACATCACCATGAACTCTTGAAAGTTTTAAACGCATTTGTTAATGGAAGATGAACCTTATGTCTACGTCAATAAGTTACCAATTAGTAAGACAATTAAAGATAAATGCACGTTACTTTGGCTTTAATATACCTGTCCTTGTCGTGCAAATAGGAAAAAGATTTGAAAGACAGTACTCCGTTCATAATAACAAACTTTTTATGCTGTTCGTGCAATAGATTTTGACTCTTATTACGTTGGAGGAATGGCAAATGTCGTCAGCAGAAAACATAAGATATTTTTATTTTTAATGCCATCCTTATGCCTACGGAACAGAAGTTAAAATCTGTTAAGAAATCAGTAAAAAAGGCTTGTTCAAATGTCTAAGTACCAAAGAGTTCATGGTGAGCGCGTTCGGGAGTACCAGGAGCGCATAAGGAAGTAGGAGACTCACGGGGTACGAGGACTATAAGGTCAGTTGCGCACGGGGACGCCGGTGAAGCTGACAGGCTGTTCATTCGTGACGAGGTTGGCACGCGGGGCGCTCGTTGGCTGACCAGATCCCGCCTCCAAGTTCGCCGCCGACGTCCTCATGTCTTCTATAGATCCTCTGTATACGTTGAAACAAAATTTTAGTTGAGGTCACAGATTAATGAACAAATGGAGTGCTCATTCTTGAACCATGAATTTGTGATAGAAAAATAATTGATAAAAATAAGAGATCAAAACTAAAGAAAGAAAATTTGTTTATAAATGTGAACAAATGCTAGCTTCTTACAGAAAACGAAAAAATAAAAATCAGAGAAGACAAAACTAAACTGTGCTCCCGAAAGCTGAAAATAAAGATAACCTGTGCTGAGGACAAAAACAAAGACAAATACGAATCAAGCGGAGAATATGAAATGACATTTGTTTTTATAAAATCATTCTTTGTGAGCCAATACCCATGTAACATAATTATATTTTTTGACATATTGACAAAACTTGAACAAGAAAAAAAGAGTTAAATGAAAACCCTTTGTAATTATATTTTAGAGCCATGTTTATGAATAAATCAAAAGCTCTTTTGTTATTATCACTTGTCTCCAAAGAAAAATTCCACAAAAACAAAAAGCCAGCAGTTCATGCAATGAGAAAGCATGCGTCAGACGGTACATGTTTTAGTGATGCGTGCCTCGTTTAGTTAGGGCGCCACACGTCGGGGTCCTCCATGAGGGTGACGTTGTGGTCGTGCGAGGCCGACAGCGGAGCGCCCGGGGGCGTAGTGCCGCCCGCCGCCATCGCCGCCATGTCGTCGCGAGACCCCCTGTGACCCCCGCGCACACACACACGTAGTATTAGTTACATTACACGCTACACTGCTTAGTTAAATACATAAAGCTTTTATTGATATAATAATTATTATTCATTCATTAGTGTTTATTATAATTTGTTTGTTGGGTTTATATTATAAGCTAGATTTTTCTTTAAAATTCAGTTAAAAAAGGGTTAAACAATATGAGACGACGTCACACTTTCATACATCATTTAACGATTCATACGATAAAGCAAACAACAGGTGCGTTACAAACTTTATCTATGTAATAATGGACAAAACGAAACGTATTCAATGTTTTCTTGCACTTCATCATCCATTTATTCATTCATCTTTGACATACTAATTTAGACGACTAAGTAAAAAAACCTTTACTAAATATCTATATTAACTTTCAGATAACATAATACCATTTTGGAGTAAATATATTACCTATTTAAATTAAATAAAGTTTAATTGAAGCGAAAAGGTTACACAGCCCAAACCCACTGAAGCTGAGATAAGTGTTAGAGAAACCCACGCCCAATCATAGTTAGTTACATTATTTATGCTCAATTTCATTTGTGAAGGGTACTGAGACGTTCTCATTTAACGTTACTACAGATTCTATAGTCAAGTTAAGTACAATACTACATCTTCTATACTATAGACTTCATAATATCATAGTATTGTAGTTGACTTCAGAATCGTAAATAACAAAATTAAATCGATATTTTAATATAATTATTATCCCAACTCTAAATATTTGACTTCAAATGTCATAGTACCCGTCTGAAATGAAATCGAGTATAGTTGATAATAAGTGTCTGTGTTATACTGACTTTTTGCCTAACGCCATCATTCCGTAGATAATGCCGGTGGCGAAGATCAGACCGCTGCCGAACCACGTGCTCATGCTTATGAAACACATGAAGAATGGTGGGACTGAGAGCCTGAAATTGCAGATAAAAAATATTATGGTAACAGTACATAAAAATAGTGTTCGACAAAGTAAAAAATAGCTACCAATTTAGTAACATGCGCATGTGACGCACTTGTCACGAATCGGATTTCCGATACTTGTTGTACTGTGTCGATCCATGAACGACATTCATTTCGACAAAAAACTCCTTAAGAAAAGTTCTAACTCCTCACTTCCCCATGATGAATGGGAAGCATCTCACTTTTTTTATTCCCATCGTAAACGCAACAGAAAGCCGACATCAAAATCTTGTTATAGAATAACAAGCACCGATATCCAACCACTGAGTCATTTCAGTAACAGCTAAACGGTATTAAAGTTATTATTTAACACAGCGGTTACACAATGGCTTTCATGCTGCACCACTCGTGATGCATACCAATTTACAATGCATGCTATAAAATTTTATTGCACGATTTATTATCATCAACAGCCCGCGTCGTGCACTCCTATGCGCTTCCTCTGTCGCGGAGAACCTAACGGGTAACCGGGGCTCGACGTGCAGGAGAAGGAACGGGGTGGTTTTTAGTCAGTAAGAGTCTGACACTCCCTCCCGCCTCACCCAGGCGGGAGCAGTCATTCGACGATTTTCCCCCCTTAAAAAAAAAATAATAAAAAAAATGCGCTTCCTCTGCATAACGCCCGCCGCACATGTCTACACTTGCACTCGTTCTCGATGTCGCTTTGACATTGGCACGTTCGCATTCAACTTGCTTTGTTTCCATCTACCAATGGTAGAGACACTGACTTGTGTACATTGACATCTCGTGAAAACAATAGTGGACACATGACATGCGTACCAATGTCAAAGCGCAGTGTCGAGAATGAGTGCGAGTGTGAGCATGTGCGGCAGGCTTGGCATAAAGAACTATTCTCCGCGGTTAGCATTGAGTTACAGATCGTGGTTTTTGGACAAGCTAGTAGTGCGTATTTTGCTGAAAAGTAAAGTGTTGGAGAGCCATGCTTCAGCACGAACGAGCCGGCTCGACCAGCGTGCTACCATGGCCTTAGAAAACCAGCGTGAAACAACGTTTGTGTTACATTGTTTCGCCGCGTCAGCGATGAGCGAAGAGATAAATAGATTTTAATTTAATTCATGTAATGTATTTTATTTTTTATCTATAAAAGTTGTACATGCCTAATAAATGAATGCATTGATAAAATCGATGAATCAGATCTGATAACATTGCTACGTCACAACACCGTGAGTGTTTCTTATAATTTAAAATTTTCTTGAGATTCTTTCAATTAATATTTATTAGAAACTTTACATAAAGATATCCTTGAATGATATTTACCATACTTATATTTATTAACGTTTTTCCCTGTCGTAGTTGTTAATAGTATAACATTAAACAGTTCGTATCAATGAGGTTAATTAAAAAGATTACTGTCTGCACAAAACCAGTATCGCATAATGAAATAAATGAGAAATAGAGTAACTTTAAAGTACCCTTCTGCACTCCCCCTAAGGATAAACGTATTCTCGCTAATTCGGCAATAAACAATGTTTCCATTATATTACAAAACTTACAAGTTACAAATATTTGACGACATATTTCGAACCAAAATTGTGTTCTTCTAACGAACTTTCCTCAAATACTTAGCCATTCTTTACAAATGACCATTTCCCTACATAATGACACTGAACCTTCCTGTCTGTCAGGGCACGTCAAGTGTCCAAGTTATCACAACGTTGGCTACACATTAGAGTTCTGATAACAGCGACTTAAAAAGCAACATGTTTACAGTACACCTGATATAATTTTATCAGCTGACTCATACAACAAACACATACTTAAATGTATTTCAATTAGGATATTCCTATTGTATCATCAATCCATCAGAGAATATTGTGAAATTGTATGTATCGGTATTTCACGTTGATGGTATTGACGTCTGCCAAGATTTTTTTTATTTGAAATGACGCCAAAGTAATTCTTAAGCAGCTTGTGTCTGCTAGATTTAAATAATAGGTTTTTTTTTATAGAAAAGCAATTGTCGTAACGTCTGCAAACGCGCGAGGCTAATCTAAACTAACCTGGGCTAATGCTCAGGCCAGGCTACTCATACTACTACGGTTACTGACTATTAAGTCAGTAGGGTAGCATATGAGGGAATAACGACTAATTTAGATGTATAAAATAAATTGTTATCTCTTATTTTTTTAAACTTAAAGTATTAAAGACAAGACAGAATAAGGTCACTCACCCAACATAACAAGCAGCCTTGTTCCAATAAGGCCTCGTCTCCATCTTATCGCTGAGGGTCTGGACATAGTCTATGAAGAAGCAGCAGCACGGAGCCTCGCACACTATCACTATGAACCCGGCCAACATCTGCCAGATACCGGCTATGAGGCACCCTACATCCAGCAGTACGATACTGATGCAGTTTAGCAGACCCAGGATTATGGCAACTGGAAGAGAAGGTTGTTTAATTAATATTTGTTTTTTAAATAGGGTAAATATGTATATATTGATTTATATAATTTCTCCAAATCATATTCTGTCATCTTTGTGGATCTCTGGGCGATGTTGCATTGCAATTGACATTTGCCGAGCTGTAGTGTTCTTAGCTACTAAAACATACTAGTACTTTTAATAATTACACACTCGTAAACTATCTACTATCTAGGACAAGTAAATAGGGCAGCCTGATTTAAGAGGGCAATCATTGATTTAAGAGAGCAACCATAAATCTCTACAAACTCTACAATGAATGTTGCTCATAATTTTATAGTGGACAGTAATGTCAATTATAATAGCTATTGAGGACATTGATCATCGACTTACAACAGTAGCCTTACATTGTTTTATCATTTAATTTGCTTTAAGATATTCCAGTAAAAGGTTACTAAAGAAATCGTATGTCGCAAGTGTATGCATTAATTATTAAGTACCTACTTCTTTATTCCTAAACTTTTCTACCCCAAAAGTAACAGGAAATGTATTCAAAACACCAGCACACCTCAATAATTGGAACCCACGTGTGACCTGAATTGGGAAGCATATTGACGCGCGCAAATTTAATATCGGGCGACGCTGGTAGTCAATATTTTGCCGCCATTCCCGAGCCGAGACCTACATTGTCTACAATATGAACTACTTCACAGGGAATCGATAAGTCGAGTCTTGTTTTAACTACAGTGGCTCTTCTACTACAGCCAGTGCCATTAAAATGACTGCCACCAATTACTACGATCAAATTGGATAATTTCTTTTATGAAATTCCATAAAAATTGTCCAACAAGCGAAGGGAGCGGGACCAATTATGCTATTACACGAACGACATCAAAAGACAAAAGCAAATATGAAATAGCGTCTCACGACCAAATCGATATCTATTCCTACAGTTTCGAACAAGACTATTTATAGTGTAGAATTTGGAGCAATTATTTTTACTGTTCCCCAAAAATCTAGAACTGTTTTCAAGTGTTACGAAAACAGTTAGCTACCTATTAAATATGGCTTTATATAAACCGTTACCATTTAAGCTAACGACCTTCCTACACACGCTACAATTGGACACAACCGATGAGCGACCACACACGATGACCATACAATACACATCTTATCAACTGTATTACAAACGCGAAACTTCATGTAGTGAGATGGAGTTCACTTCTACATTGCTACACAGATTTAGATGCAATTTGGCATGGAGTACCATTATTAAATGATGTATTTGTGTTAAATAATGCTTGAATATTGTAAACATCAAGGTCACATTATTTCTATTTCATTGCAATCGGATTTGTATTAATTAAATTAGTAAAGGGCTTATAAAACAATAGGATTATCGTCCTCCATGCATGAGTGAAGATTGCAATGCAAAACGGTACTATAGGTGTTACTGCGTACAGCCATGTAATAGGCACGAAGGTAGGTAATAGAAGTGTTTTTGTTTATATTTTTGGAAGTCTATTGGATGAACCTTGAGCTTAATCCATGTGGTCCACAATTGGGTGCTTTCCTTACAAAAATACATTATTTAGACTGTTCAGTACAAAAAAAAAATAATAAAAAATCATCACTCTTTCAGTGATTGATTTATGACCAACTTAATTTTAAAATTTTGCCAGCAATTTTTTAAGAAATTAGTATCCTTTTTGACGCTAAAAACGTGACTTCACAATACACAATCTCGTACAACATTCATAAAAAAACTGTGATTTTTGACAATTCGAAAAAAGTATTGAATTTGAGTAGTTGGCAAGTACCCAGTTGGGTTTTCTATCTACCACTTCCTCATCATCATTGAAAAGGTTTAAGTACCTATGTAAATCTATTGTTGTACAATAAAATCTTTGATCTAATTTTGATGTAAGGAACCATAACGGAATAGACCTTGTAAGGACATAATCGTCTGTTAGCATTGTTAAATCGGCGAATGAAGCCAAGGGCGGAAATCAAGCACTTTTCCAACGACCATAGACTAGCTCATCAATCAGTCTTCATAGTTAAAATCGCTTCTTCGGAATTTAAAAGCAAGAAATGTTGTATACCTTATTGTTTTTCAATATTTCTGACGGTTACAGATTTGAAGCTAATTTGACCTTATCTATTGTAATTGAACTATCGACACGCCACTACGGTCGCCAATGGGGATTGGCAAAAACCAATGCCATGGACACAAGTGTCAATAATATAGGCCTACTATTTAATTGATGAGTAGAAAAAACTACATTATTTATTTCCTTCTATTTAGAATTTGGACTTGATAAGTGATTTAAGTTATAATAATAACGTTTGAATAGTGATAAAACGTGTCAAATAATGCATTCACTTTTCTACTTTGTTTCTATTTTGTTCTTATTGTCGAAGAAGTTTAGAAGGCAACTCTATTACGAAACTGAACGCAATTCTAGACAATCGTACAACAGATAATTTCTGAATCAAAATCGTAATAGCTAGTACAATCTACCGACCCAGATCGAACCTAAAGCTTTACTTTCAATAGTTGTAGCTTGTAGCTGTTCTACCAACGACTTGACAGCCCATATTATGTTTGAAATGAACAAACTATTTGATAATATTTAACCAAAGATTATGCATGAGTTATTGTAAACATTAGACCGACAGCTTGACTGGTAAATAATATTTTAGTGTTCAAAGATAAAGATGTAGGTAACGAGGTATACATATATTTAACTTGTGTACATATTTATTTTGACATCCTGTAAAAGCAAGGTACGTGAGGATATACAATCATTTTCTTTATAAAACAAATGTTTTAGTGCACGCTAGAAATGTCATACGATGCTGCGTAGCATTGGTAAGTAGAGAAGGTAATTTGAAGAACTACAGCTCTTTCAAAGAAGTAAAGTACTTTGCTCCACCTCTCTTTAGAGGTGGGACTTTTGCACTTAATTCGTCGGCGTTAGACCCACTAACTCGGTGGTAAGTGATAATTAAGGCCACCATGGAGCACAGACGACTCGAGCTATGTAATAATCGGGATGAACCAATAACACTAGGCAGACAGGTAATATGGGCAAGGAATAAAATATTATAATAGTGTACGTAATAGTGTTTTTTTTAAGGGGGGAAGATCATCGAATGGCTGCAGCGGGAGGGAGTGTCAGACTCTTACTGACTTAAAACCACCCCGGTAACCCGTTAGGTTCTCCGCGACTCCGAATCGGCATCAGCCCTGTTGGGCCCCATCCGTGGTGGTCTGATGGCTCATTGAGGCGACGTAATAGTGTAGTACCTACTGATAGGAATATTTTTGTAGAGTAAACGAGCAGACGTATACAATACGCCCACTTTTCGGCCCAGGAATGAATCTACATATTTCTATAATAATCTTCTAGAGGTAAAATTAATTTTATAAATGCCAACAACGATTGTTTTTATGGTCTTGAAATGGGGGGCTCGAGGGACACTGTCTTCCTTTGACCGCACAGCTTTTTATAGGCCACTGTTTTCATTGGTCGCGTAGGTGAAGCCGCGGGAGTAAATTATGGCTTTTTATTGTAATGAAGCCATCTTGATTATTATTAGACCAACTAAGTATATTGATTTTTACACATAAAAACAATAAATGTAAATGTTAACCTATATTATCAGACAAGTTGGACATTTGATATTATCGCTAAAACATGGTTTAAAAAACTGGTTCCTAAATAGAGCCGACATTTTTGTCATAGATAAATTCAATGTTAATTTCACATTATGCGAGAAACTCGTTCATTGAAGTTCACGCATATATTAATTACTACCTGTGGTCCGCGACTCTGGTCGTGTGGAAAACTTATATTAATGTGTGAAAGTAAAAACTAACAAACCGAACTTCGATCCCTAGACTTATCACATTTGGGGTCATCCATAAATTACGTCAAATGAATTTCATGATTTTTGCCCCTCCCCCGCCCTTGTCCCAGCTAGTCACATTTGTGAGACCTAGTGTGACGTCACATTTTGCAGAGTTAGATATGTATACAAATTATTGAACGAAAACAGCGGTTCCGAAACCAGTTTTATTTCTATTTCTATTACTTTAAAAAAGTATTAATACCAAATAACAGACATTAATACAATTTTATTATATTTCGTATTTTATAATGGTTTTTGAAATGTGACATCACAAAGTTTAGGATCCCTCCCTCCCCCTTGTCACACAATATCACACTACGTCGAGCCCCTTCCTACCCTTAACATGTGACCTAATTTATGGACGGCCCCTGAGTCATGTTAATTAAAAAACAAACTAAATTACCTACGCCTTATAAAACATGGCATTGGATTTTTGTATGCAAAAAAAGGCATTATAATAATATGATAAGTGATCTATTTTAGAGTCAGATTTTATCCAAATTTAATCAGTCTTTTTGGTGATTGAGTTACAAATATCATGTCCATAGAGTTTAAAACCGGAATAGTTATTATTCAACTTTGTTGGCCTGGTTGATTATCACCGAGGTGACCATATTATTATCATTATTACAGCAAATTAACTTGGTGTCAAGTACTTCTAGTTTCTATGAGAACTAGTTAGCTAGCATTTAACCCAATAATCTAAGTATAATATAATACTACCCACTACACAGACATTTGATAAACTAACTAGTATAATATAATTTAAGTTTAATGAACTAAAAATCACGGGTTACATAAATATACTGAGAAAAGCTCTACTTTGTTTCTATTATAACTATCGTGAGACATACTAAATTAACTAAAAATCTTGAGTTACTCACGTGAATATATTGATAGGCTGCGCAACATCGCCGCGACTGCGCACACTCATGCTCATGACGAAGAACCCCTCTGTAGTTCGAAACAAGTAGAGCTTTTCTCAGTATATTTACGTGAGTAACCCCCGATTTTCAGTTAATAAAAGCTCTACTAGTTTCATGTCATAGAGGGACTCTTCCTCATGAGCAGCGTGTGCGGTCGCGGTGACCTCGCATAGTAGTCTTTCAGTATATTTACAGGAGTAACTCATGAATTTTAGTTAATTCAGAATGTATCACGATAGTTATAATAAAAACATAATATAATTTGCATTTTAATTGGTGTTACAAACATGATTGAACTAGCTTACTGGCCCAGAACTTTGTAAAATTGATTGAATAAGTGTAACCATAGAGTTCCTTGCTCATTCCTCTCTATACATAAATGTAAAATAAGCAAATACGGTAAAATTGGGTGAATAGGGATTAAGATGTGAATAGGAACAGAAGAGGGGTGAATTGATACTATGAAAAATTTCCCAATATTGATTCACCCCTCTTCTGTCTCTATTCACCTCTCGATCCCTATCCACCCCATTTTACTAGCTTTATTAGGAGACTGAAAGACAGAGATATTATATCTTTTTTTTTCATATATATTGTTTAACTATTAAAAATTACTGGTCTAATTGAAATATTGATTTGAAGTGTTTGTGTTCAAAGTCTATTTTAATCTTTTTCTGATTGTTTTTTTTTTTCTCTGCTCAGCTCAGTCAGATACTGTCTTTCTTAATCATTATGTAAAGCTAGTATTCGAAATGGAGTGACTTCAATTTGTCCTCCTTCAGTATGTATAATAAGTTCATCAATCAGTATGTGTAATGTATCAATAAAATACATAAAATAATGCATATTTGAACAATATATTATTGTTCAGTGTCCTAGGTTTAATGGAATAGAATAGAAAGCTATTATTATTCAAATCATAAACACGGCTGAAATATTTATTTAAAATGTATTTCATTCATTCCAGGTATGCACTTGTTAGTTGCTTAAGTCATGAAGAATGACTCTTTCTTTATGGCCATTTCTTTTTCAGTTGAAAAATAAATAATTAATAAATCATTATAAAATCATTTATCATCCGATTGTACCTATCCAAAAGCTGAGCAAAGGCCTTCTCCTCAAACCCATTGAAATATGCATTATTCTTATATTTAGAACTAAATATATAATTTTTATTTGTCATTGATAAGGTTATAGGTAGTAGGTAGTAATAATTTGTACAGTCAATAATTAAATTTCCAATAGACAAGTAAAAATCACTTGATATATTTAAAATAAGTACTATAAACAATACCATTTTGCAACAACTAACTGGTTGATTCAGCCAGTGACCTAAAAATATTAAGTTTGTTTTTAGTTGCATTCAACAAACATTAATCAACTCTTTACATTTATACTCTTTTCTGATTGGCCAATATTTTTAGCACATTCAAGACAAATAAAAATAAAAGATACCTTCTTATATTTTTCTAAAATAATTTTAAGAATGCATTAAATAACAGTGTAGGTACTCATTAAAATGTTAATTGTGTTTATTTAATGCCCCAATTATCTTCAACACTTTCTAAGCAAATATGTAACACCAATTATCCCTTTGTAACCCAAGCTAAGACGCAATTCGTTACAACACGTACATGTTTATTATTTCAGGCTCATTGTCTCGAATCAAGGGTGGAACTGTAGATTTGGGTTTTAAAGATAAGATAATAATGTTGATTTATTGATCAACTCTACTCAAATCTAAGCGGACACATTATACCGTATTCGCCATGTTAGTGACATGTGTATTATATATAATATAAGGTAAAATAATACGAACTGAAGCCGCCAACTGTTCCAACTCCCCGACCAGCGTAGCGCATCCACCAAGGCACGTCATCTTTCTGAGCATTGTCGCCGCCCGGCCGGGCCATAAGCATGGAAAGTTTGTCTGTTAACGACTGAAACAATTATTAACATTGTAATCATGTTTTTCTTACGTTACTATTGCGAATTATTTAATATTTACGAATATTTCTTACCATTTTCGAAAAAATCAATTCACTGCCCTGTCACCTGTCAAGTCAACTAAGATATGGATTGTTTTCTTTGCGTACTTTGATATTCCCAAATCGATCGAAGAATTTTCAGATTTTGTTCATTTTTATATTTTAAATATAAAATTCCCATAAATTATGGTTGATTAAAATATGAAAAAATACACATTATAAATCATGGATTTGATAACAAGTTCAACACGATTATTTTATTATTACTAACTTGTAAATGAGAACTTGCTACATTCTTTGATTCGCGTTTCGTTTATGCACTATTACATTTTTACACAGTTTCATTTTAAAAACTTAGTATTATTTTTTGGGTAATACATATAAATAATTATCTAAAATATTAACATACAAAATTATATGTGTACGTTAAATATATTTTTTAAAAATAATTTACTCTATGAAAAGTTTAAAATGAGTGATCACTAATTTTCGAATCTGACAACAAAACGCATTCTCATGTCGGTCGGCATCAGCGGTTTGCTGTTGTAATATTTGCATGAGTTTTTGCAGTTACAATTCTATTGTGAATTTGTATCAAACTTTTTGAAATTCATGTGGAAAGTAGAAGAGTAGATCAACAATGGCACCCACAACTTTGCTTCCGAAGCTTTCGGATGCTACTCAAACTATGTAAGTGACAATATTCTGAAACTGAATTTCGCTTTTGATTTATTGCTTACGCAAATAAATATTAACAACTGAGCGTTTCCTGTGTTGTACAAGGTTGAATTTACGGGTGATATTGAGTGATTTTGCATTAATATGCTTGAAAACTCAGTAACCTATTCCGTAAACATCGAACTCACAATGTCAAACATGCCTGATTATCACGAAGTCTATCAATGTCTATTTCGCTTTCCCGATTCTTCTAGATGCAAGGTCCACTAATAGTCAATGATACAATCTCTATGCGATAGCTTAATGTTCACTTACAATATGTATGTACGGGGGTAACTTTGATTTTGTCGAGATATTTTAGATTACATAGTTTTGCTTGGGTACTTCTATATTTCCAGTTCTATTGTTTGATGCGATACCACGCGCGTGCGATACTGTGGCACGCCACAGTAAAGATACCGTACTTGTTATGGAGGTATCTGTGTATGAACATTATTTAAACTGTCAAATACCAAGCGGTCACCGGTGACCGCAACCTATTGTTCTATAATTGTGTCTGCAAAACCGGTACTCGACGAGTTAAAGACAACACTACTTGCAATGCTATAGTTTTATTGGGTGCATTCCAAATCCAAAAGTGTATTTTACATTGCAATAATTTGCCAAAATATTCATTTAAATTATGAATATTTCATTAGGCATAAGATTCTAAATTTTGTATCTATTAAATTCTTTGAATTTTATCTTGTTGTTACTTTCAAAACAGGTATTTTGTAATGCATTACAAGTACGAAAAAATCATTCCACTGACATGAGCTGATCTATGTACAAAATCTTAGGTTTCATCCATGTCAACATTAGCTTAACCTACTCGTAAGACTTTCTTATAAATCATATAAATGTAAAAGTGAGGGTATGTAGTTCGATCAAAGAAATGTTCCATGTAGGAATGGAACATTTCTTTGTGTGATCCACAGATTGTTGATCTGGGTCTGGGTGCCATGTGTACAGGAAAAAATCCTGTGAGCAAGTGCATCCACATGCTTTTTACTAAAAAAAAAAATTAAGTACATTATACTTGTACCACCACTAATATGAAAGTGTTACATTTAACCTTTTAAGCACCAGAACACCATGATTGGCTAGAGGCGAACAGAAAATGTAAAGCAAGCAAAATATGTTGAATATCATATCCATATCCAAAATTTGACTCCAAACAAAATGGCTTTTAAACATAGAGTTTGTGAGGCCTATTTAAAGGCGTTACAACACTGAGTTTGTGTCTATGTTAATTATATTATACTATAATATAATTATATATATAGTTATTTATGTACGGATTTTGTATTTATTATATATTTTTCTATACATTATTTATTATTACTATTAGTTATTTATTTAGTTTTTTGTATATTACACAAGCTTATTTTCGCTGACTCTATATTTAATCCAAAGCTTGACTGGGAGAAAATGCCATTATGGCATTAAGTCTGCCTTATGTACCTTATTTTGTGTGTATTAAAGAGTTGATAAAATTTGTTCATACAAAAGTAGTCCGTAATCGTCGGAAATAGGGTCTAATATGGAGTTAGTGGAGAGTGGTCACCAGTGACTGCTTATGCTTGAGCCTTCTTGTGAGAAGAGGCCTTTGTTTAGTAGTGGTCGCATATAGGCTGTTGATATGATGGTATCTTTTATGGATTGTGACAAATTAGTCCCGTTTTTTGTTTGCAATCCAAGCGTGACTGTCAAAGGCCAAATAATTATATATATGTCTCTTTCAGATCATTCTCGGACGGAGATGGAGTGTGCAGTGCTGAAGTGTTTTCCACCAACGTCATGGTTAACACCAATGCTGGGAACCATGACCATGGTAGCTCCAAGGTGAAGCTTAAGAACTTGGTGGACTACAACTGGGAGCCTAAGTTTTACTCCGGACAACTGCTGGCTATTCATACCAGTGGGAAATATCTGGCTTATTGCATTAAAGGTATTATATTATTGTGTAGTTTTTTTTATTCATTTACAGTGAAGTAACATGCAGACTAATATTACTGGATATTTTGAGAACAAAGGACCAGACTGGAATCCTCTATATTTTATATTTTTGTAACGAGTACAATATATCATTGTGAAATGATATTTGGTCGGTGCGCCTGCCAAAACTGTTATGTGCATTTGGTCAAGTTTTCAGGAGGAGACAATAAACTATTTTTTACACTTGCACTGAAAGGTTGATGGACTTAGCAATAAATTAAAAATGCAGTAAGATGGCAAAAATAATGATAAAAATAACTGAGATAAAAGTGAAAATGATAACATGTAACTGTTCATCCCCAATAATTTTATTTTCGATTTTGGTGCACATATCAGATTTATCTTAGAAAACGGTAAAAATTTTAAACAAAAACTTGATATTCAATCTGCCAAACTATCTATGTGATGCTGCAATTCCTGACATGTGCGTTTTATGTCACATAACCGTAACCAATCGAACACATAACCAATTTGTCATGGCCAGAAAGTGCACATATAAGATTGGTCTAATCGATTTCTATAGGGAAATAACACATATTTGTTTTTGTAATCGATGCGCTATCCGATTTGAAGGACATCTAGCTAAGAAAAAAAAAACTAAATATTTGCACATACAGTATACATATGTGATAAAAAGTAACCTGAACTCCTTGAGTGGGCTAGGTCAAAGTTTATTATTGCTAGCCATAACTTAAGCACAATGCTGACTCATGAAATCAGTGCTGACTGCCAAAACTTACTAAAGATTCAAATCTGCTATGACTTATAGGTTAAGTTATAGCTTTACTTATTTAATTGAAAGAATATACTCCAATATAAAATTCCTTGCAATACACTTGTAATTTTGATGCATCAGTCGGTGCTAATCATTTACCATTAGGTGTTCCATCTTCTGTTTTCCTATCCCATAAAAAATAACCTGTTTCAATTCTACAACCACAGTATAAATCTTTAGTACTCAACCTTGACATTAATTACTTTATGTTTATATCAGCTCCTAATCCTGTGAACCCGGGGACATGGAGCGGTATGGTGCGCGTCGTGTACACGCCGGAGCCCGGCACCGACCGACGCGCGCTCATCAAGGGAATGAAGGGAGAGGTAAGTTATTGTATAAAACTTGTATAAAAACAATAGTTATTTGACTACTAAATAGTCCACTATTCGACAAAAGAAGGGTATTCCATAATATCCATATTGATTAGAAATCACAATTAACTGATCAATTCCCAAGCTGTCGCTCCACTAACTCCATAGAGCTTATTTCCGATGCTTGGAGACTATTTTTGTATTAATAAATTCTGGGGTTTTTGCAAACAATGTACCAAGTGAATAAGTAATAATAATTATTTGTTATGAACTAATATTGAACCTCTTGTTCAGGTTTACCAAAAGAGCCGCTGCTCAGTCTCTGTTAATATGCAAATATAAATCTTAATCGGTTCTTACATGAAGAATATGGATGGTGACAAATGTGAATGTGCTCTGGACTATTATCTCCAACTTTTAACCAGTTACTTTATGCTATTGAGTTAAAAAAATGTTATTATTTCATAGGTACAAGACCTGGCGTTTGCCCATATTCAAAACCAGGTGGTACTGGCATGTATTGACGAACAGGGCAACTTTTATGTCCATGAGATTGAAGTTACTGACGGTGGGTTGAGGTAAGTCACTTGAAAGACCTTTCTTTACATTAGATAGCAAATAAATAAAAAATTGATAGCAAGTTACATTATGACATTAATGTGATTTGATTATGTATTTGATTGTATCTATCAGACAAGCCTGTTTAAATCAAGTTACGAAATGTAAAGTTAAATATAATTACCTTTTATCACACCATTACATTAATATTATAAATATGTGTGAGTTTCTTTATTTGGATGTTTGTCCGTCAATCACGCTGAAACTATAGAACGGATTTTGATGAACTTGATATACAGGCAGGAAATGGCAAAAAATCGCGGGTTATTCGCGTGAATATGTCTAAGAAAAGATCTACTAGTTTCGAACCACAGAGGGGTTTTTCCTTCATGAGCACTGTGCGCGGTCGCGGCGATGTCGTGCAGCCTAACTACTCCTATAGTTATTATAGAAATATTTTCCCGTCCCCCATAAAATATCACAACATTGTCTCCCAGATGCACCCTACTAGCGGAGGTCCGCGAAGACACGGGTGCAGTGGGCACCTCCCACCGCGTGGTGTGGTGCCCCTACATCCCTGACGACGAAGATGAGGCTCCCGATGACGATGTGGCTAGACTGCTGCTTACCACCCATGATAATATCGGTACGAACTATGTTACATGATTGTTATATTGTTTTTTTATTTATTTATAATTCATCATGGAGGACTTACAGCTTATAAAAATGGATAAAAATAACAATAGGCGTAGGTA